TTTTTTTTTTTTTTTTTTAATGGTAAATTTGAGCGTGGAAATTTTGTATTAAATAAAGGTGAATCAAAACAAGTTCAAAAGAGGTATTAAATTTGGGACAAGACGCCATCTAGCGATAAGTTTTCTAAGATTGAGCTTTTTCGAAAACAGACTGTTAGCCACAGCTGTTAGCGACAGCTGTTAGCGACAGCTGTTAGCGACAGCTGTTAACAACAGCGACTCCTGTAAAGCAGCTTTTATTGAGAGCTGTTCTAAAACAGCAGGGAAAATGTTAACTTAACAGTTAATTAACAGCAAATGTTGCCAACAACAGAAAGTTAATTTTTCAAAAAGAAATCAGTTTAAGTAATACGAGTTAATTTTTGTAAAAGTTTCCATTTCATTGAAATGCATTAACATTGGCTACGTGTCTTAGCCATGGCAACAGTTAAGGCCACAACAAAAGGGGTTGCCCCGGGCAACGAGGCGGCCAAGTCAGCTGACGGCCTCAGTGGCTGGTAAACAAAACAATTGAAGTCGTGTGAAAATCAACGTCCAAAATAAAGCTGAAACTATTAGAGAAATTCAAATCAGATCTGGAGGGCAAACCATGTGCTAAATGGGCCAGCTGAACTGCTTGCCACGCTGGTGCTGCTCCTGCTGCTCCTGCTGCTGCTGCTGCGAGAGGACGCCGCAGCTGCCGCCGACAGCGCGCTTCAAGCTGCTGCTGCTGGGCGTCGCGGGCAGCGGCAAAACGCAGCTGGGGCATCTGCTCAGCGGCGAGGAGCGCGACGCAAACGACATGGGCGCCACGAATGGCGTTCGCTGCTATCGAGTGATGCATCCGGAGGCGAGTCTGCTGCTGACTGAGGTGGGCGGCAGCGCGGATATGCAGCGCATCTGGCAGCATTACTTTGCCACCTGCCACGCGCTCGTCTATTGCTTCGATCTGAGCGCCAGCTACGAGCAGCTGTTGGCCAGCTTTGAGCTGCTGCGGCGCTGCCTGCAGCATGCCACGCTGCGTGGCAAGCCCGTGCTGCTCGTCGCCACGCGGCACAGCGATGCCGTGCAGCTGTACGATGTGGAGAATGCCTTCGATCTCGAGCAGCTGAGCCGCTCCTCTGGCTGCCCCCTGCACATCTGCCACATGGCCGGCGAGGAGCTGCAATTGGGCGTGGCCTGGCTGCGACGCCAGCTGCAGGAGCTGGCGCCAGCGCTAGATCAGCGCATCAAATATGATGTTAATATGCAGGTACGGGCATTCGATCTGTCTCTCTATATCTCTACTTTTCTCTCTCTCTCTCTCTCTCTCTCTCTCTCTTCCTCTCTTTTACTCATTTATTTTTCTCTCGCTGTAGCTAACAGTCTCTTTATCGCTTTCGATTTTCGCCTACTTTTATTTAGGGATATTGCTCTCTTACTTACTCACTCTCTTTGCCTCTCTCTCCCTCCCTCTCTCTCTCTCTCCCTCTCCCTCGCGCTCTTTCTCTCTATCTCTCTGTCATTTTTTCTTTTCCTGCTGCCTCTACCTCAATCCCTGTTTTTAATTTTCTGACCTTATATTCCTTTATCTTTCTCTCTTTCTCTTATTTTTTTTATCTCTCTCTCTCTCTTTCTCTCTCTCTCCCTCCCTTTCTTACTTTCTATCTCTATATCTGTCTGTCCTTTCCTTGTGACGTAATGTCTTCCATTTTCCGATTCTCTCTCTCTCTCCCTCTCTCTCACTCTCTCTCTCCCTCTCTCTCTCTCTCTCTCTCTCTCTCTCTCTCTTCACATGCTTCTCTCGCTCGCTCGTTCATTCGCTCACTCACTCTTTAGACACCTAGTCTGTATGTTTTCCTTCCGACAATTTTCTAGCTTCAAAAGCTTTCCGCTCTTCTCTCATTTCGTTTCTTTTCTTACACTGGAATTTCTTCAACTCTCTCCTTCTCTCCTCACATGACACACAGCTTTACTTCACTTTCTTTCTATTCCACCAACTCACTCTTTCAGCACTCTCCTGTTCATTAACAATTTAATCCACTCACTTCCTCTCTCTCTCCCTCTCTCATCTTTCCAACAGTCGTGGGAGCGACGCAACCGCGCTCTGCTCTCTAACGGTAAACAGACTCAGCCGCATCGGCAACGCTTTCGACGTCGCCATAGAAAGGTAACGTTATACATACGATCGACTCTATTGCTCTCGCTCACACCGCTTTCTCTTCTCTCCCTACAGCTGTGGCCCATCCAATTGGCCGGTGACGTCACGCAGCCGCGTCCATCAACGGCGCCGGCAGCCATTTTTTCAGTGCGCCCCCCATGAGAACTGCCTTCGATTCAATGTTCAGCAAGATGTGCCAAAGATCCATTTTTTTTTTTTTTTTTTTTGCTATCATAGGATTACAATTAGAATAATACTAAAGCAATAAGATCTGTTCTTTTTTTTTTTTTAATTAAATAAATAGTAAATGCCTGTAAATGCTGCAATACTTGAAGTAAACTCAGCATGTAGCAAATATACAATTTTAAAGGTGCTGCGGCATCAAATTGCTGCATTTGGCATCCAGCAGCAAGAGCTGGTTAGCTGGTTAGCGGGCGGATGCTTGCAGATTCTCCCACCCGGCTAACTGCCAGACGATGATGTATTGCAGCGCAGCAATAAGTAAACCACAAGAACACCTCGCACACACACACACACACACACACACACACATGCACAGGCATATTCAAACAATTACAAACACCAACAAAGATTGCAAGAGAGAGAGGGAGAGAGAGAGAGAGGAAGCGGAAGAGGAAGGGAGGTACGTAGAGCGCCGTTGACATTGATGATTGCGGCTCGTCGTCATCATCAGCGTCGACGGCGACGGCGACGTCGGCGGCGGCATCGGCGGCGGCTTTATTGTTGTCGTTGGTGTCTGGAGACGCTCGAACGTGTGCTCATAATAATCCCGATATATAAGCCAGCAAAAAAACTCGCCGAGGCAAACACACGCACACACACACACACACATACAAATAGAACATGTGTCGCCGTGTGTTGTTACGAAAAGTGTAAAATAAGCATCAATCATCGCTTATTCGAGTTGTCATCAATCACACACACGCTGCACACACACACACGCACACACACATASACAGGCAGTGCAAAAAGTACAACAACATGAAGCAACAAGCGCCGCTATCCTTGGTGGTTAGCTCTTGTCGAGCGTCGGCCCTCTCCCGTTCGCTCGCTCGCTTAGCGTTTACAAATTTGCTGCAGCCTTTAAATTTGCAACCCCTTTGCCTGGACACAGTCGCCGGCCGCCCCGCAGCACTACCCCTAGCCCTAGCTGCAGCCCTATATCTAATCAGCTTTGCGGCAGTTATTAAATCATCAGGTTGCACGATCGGGCGCCCATCCGCTGTCACATGTCTGTCAACAGTCAGCAAAGGACACTACAACAACAACAAAATTGGTATAAATTTATATGCGAGGGTAGGCTGAGCTGTTTGCGATCTACAGCAAAAGTATTTTCATATACAAAGTCTTATATTCTTACATATTTTTGTATAGTTTTTTTTTTTATTATTACATTTTAAGTTTGAAAGAATTTTGTAAACAATTCTGCGAGAGTGGTCTGAACAGTTTCTGTAACAAATTTCATTCAAATTATAGTTTTCATATATTTATTTATATTATTTATTTATTACTAATAAAGTAATTTTCATATAAAGATTTTTGTTGACAGATAAAAAGATTTATACATTTCACTTAAGTGAGGTCAGATTAATGAGTTTCAGACTAACATATGCTGCAAAAATAAAGAGCATATTTATATTAATTTTTTTACATACAAGATATACATACATATATACCTAAATATACAAGTCACATTTACTACAGTACATTCAGTACTCATATCAATTTTTTTTAAATTTTTTTATTTGCTTTTAGCTGGAAATTTGTCGAGCAGACCTCGCATGTGCTTGCATATGTTTGCATGTATTGTGCGTAACCAAATATGTTCTGCCCTGGCCCTCTGCGTGCGTCAAGGCGGAAAATAAAGATTTAATCGGCATTTACGTATAATATTTTTAGGTTTTTATGATAATGCGCTCTTCTTCTTCCTTTTTTGCTTTTTTTTTTTTTTTTTTTTTTTTTTTTTTGATTTTTTTTTTTTTTTCCTTTTTTTTTTTTTTTTTTTTTTTTTTTTTTTTTGGCAGATATGAAACTCAACGAGCGACCCTTCAAACGATTGAGCCTGTCATTTGAGCGTGTGTGTAGAAACCGTGCTCAGAGCCAAAGAATGGAATATGCGAACTTTTATATATTTCGAGCGGTATTTGATAAAGAAAAAGTATTTTATGTCCCTCTCTGACGGGGGTGGGGCAGCAGGATGGCTGAGGTAACTGATTAACGTGTCCCAATATGCCCGAGCATGAATCACACTTCAACTATTTGAGATTACAGGCCAGGATTGGAATGACCAAAGACAGCAAAGGGTACAAAGAACAAGTAAGAAAGCTCTAGTCGAGACTGCTCGACTACGAGATCCCCTGAACCCTTGGAGTGCTAGCTATTTCAATAATTTTTCGCGTCTTTCAGCTTACACAAGAAACACACACACATACACAAACACATACACATACAAGCACCCACGCATAAACACGCATGGGCTGCAGTGTGCGCTTACTATGAGAACTTAATTGTTTAATAACTTTTTTTGTGGACGTACGATCTTCATGAAACTTTCAGATTATGATTATAACATGAATATGCATGTAATTGCCAAAGCACAAGTCTCTAGTATTTGAAATACGCGTTTTACAAAAGTGAGGGTGAGGGGGTGAATTTAGAGGTGGGGGGTAAATTTTAACAAAAACCGAAATTGTATAAATTGCATATAAGCATACATTNACGGACAGACGGACAGACGGACAGACAGACAGACGGACAGGGCCAAATCAACTCAGCTCGTCACCCTGATCAAGAATATATATACTTTGTGGGGTCTGCCACGCCTCCTTCTGCCTGTTACATACATTTCAACAAAACCATTATACCCTGATTTCCCATTTTCAATGGGTTCAGGGTATAAAAAGGAAAAGAATGATAGCGAAAAAAAGAGAGATGAGCAGAGTGAGAGATCGAAGGAAGACAAAACGAGTAGAGAAACTGAGAGAGAGAGAGAGAGAGAGAGAGAGAGAGAGAGAGAGACTAAGAAATAGAGCGAGAAAGAGAGAGATGCAGACTGAGCAAGAGAGCGAGGGAAAGGAAAAAGACAGATATTAGGATAAATGGAAACACATAGAGAAATGAAAAGAATACAAAGAGAAAGAGAGACAGAAACAACAAGAATGAGAAGCAGAGAGAAGTAGCGGTAACAGAGAATGGGGCACAAAGAGTCAATTGCAATCATTATATTATCATGCCATCCTTGGCTAGTTGCCATGGATCGAAGCATAACAATGGCCAGCCGAAAGGGCAACGAAAGGTGAAATGGGTTTTAATTTCAATTTGTACAACAATCCCGTTATATCAGAAAAGCTTAGGGCTGCCGCTGTTTTTATATAATTTCGTATGCGGATCTAAAAACAAAGTAGAAAACCCGAAATGCCAACGCAACTGGGCAGACAATCAAATAAAGTCACGCCGCTTTAACATTTGCGGTCGGCAGGACGATGCGAGGGACGAAGTGATGGACAGTTTTAGCTGTGGGTAACACGATATGCACACACACACACACACACACAACATAGACACGGCCACAGAGGCAATGCAAAAGGCTGCAGGACATGTACACGAAATTAATTTGCAGCGAAGGGCATGGCACGCGCTCTCTCTCTCTCTTGCTCGCTCTTTCCCTCTCTCTCTCTCACACACACACTTTTAATCCAACATGATATGATGCTACAGCAAAATGCAAAATGTAGCCGGAGTCCAGCTGCTGAACCTGAACCTGAACCTGAATATGCCGCCACGCCCCCACGCCACGCCGACTGACTGCAACAAAAATCAGAAAGCGGATTAAACGTATTCGTGAGAATTCGTCAACGATTTCACACCTGTTCGACAATCGCGCCAGCGAGTGGGTGTGTGTGTGTGTGTGTGTGTGTACGTGCGGTTGTGGGCTGTAGGCGTGGTCCGGCATAAAATGCCAATTAGAATTTCAAGTTCGCAGTCCGTTGGGCTACGCCACGCCTTTGGGCAACATCCCCGACTTTTTCGCCAACGCAAATTGTTTATCGCCTTCCGGGCGCTTTATTAACTTTACGGCTGGCCGAACTCTGACCCGTAGTCTGAGCAGGGATCTCAACTCTCTATCTCTCCGTCCCTCCCTCTGTCTCTACTCCGCCTCTCTCTCTATCTCTCTCTCATTCTGTGGTCTCTCCTGGTCAGCGGCATTTTACGGACTTTCGATTTTCATGTGTTTCAATTCGATTTGCTTTGGTTTCGGTTTCGCCACTTCATTCCGCTTTTCCTTGTTGTTGTTTTTCTCTCGCACCTTTCTGGAATCATTTCCTTCCTTTACTTCCATTTCATTCAATTTGTTGTTGCTGTTGTTTGTGGAACCCTTTCCCTCCGGCCGAGCGGAACGCGGAAATGCACTCAAAATATTAAATGCTTCAGTAGTTTGCAATTATTGTGCGCGTTGGCCTTGTGCTTAATTTATAATACGACTCCGGCGTGAGATTCTGCTACAGGAGTCCGCCGTACTCGCACAGCTGTCCGGCTGCTGACCATTTGCTCCGCCACTCGCGTCCCTTTGATGATTTCACATTGAGCACACGCACTTTTTTAAAGCATTTACTTAAAGTCAATAGGATTGATGGCTAGTTGGGAACAACTAGGACTGGGACTAGAGAAGGACTAACAAGCTAATATCTAAGAGTTACTAATATGCGATAGTAGTGGGTGATGTCCTGCCAGAGGCAGGGGCTGGGCTAGGCAGAGGTCCATGGCTCGGGTAAATCGAAGTCAAAGTCGAAGTCGAAGTCGAAGCCAAAGTAGAGGTCAAAGTTGCCCTCAAGTTGTCTGGCGCAAAACTTTCAATTGCTGCTGGGTCTTATCTTTATTATCGTCGCTTTTATTACGCTGACCATACCTAAGGAGGGGGCGTGGCAGACGCAACCGGAGCAGGGGTGTGTATTACTCATAAAGTATGTCATGTGTCATAAATGACAGATTCTTAGGCATGCTTCATTGATCCTTTTTTGGCCGCAACGCTTTTTACGATGCCACCACAGAGGCGAGCAGAGATACGACACAAGATGCTGTGTATGTGTGTGTGTGTGTGTGTGTGAGGCAGAGAGAGCGAGAGATAGATGCTAGCTAAATTG